AACAAACAAACAAACAAACAATCACCACTATCCTCTCACTTCCAATTATTGCAATATTGATGAAAATAATTTGCTAAGCTGTTATCCTATCCATATTAATATGAACATGAGTAAACATGCATAGAACTGTATTAGTCTCTTTAGAACGATATACTCTATCTGTACTATCTGTAACAATGGTTTGTTGCCATTTGTGAATCTGCTTTACCAGGTCATTATGCCAGAAGGTTTCAAAACTGAACTGCCTGTAATTTGTATATTTTCACATAGAACAATGTAAGTTCTCAGTTCCATTCCAATAACAGTTCAAAAGGAATTACGTCATCATAACAGGTTTGGAAGAAAGGTTGTGTTGTATTGTAGCTTGGAAACAGCAAATGAGTCGTTAATTGGAAGAAGGGACGAAGGACTTCTGAGAAATGTAAGGACTACAAATGAAATACCAGTACTGAGACTAGGAGGTACCCATTAAAGCAAATATCTAATAATCTGAAAAAGAATTTTATGCAAGTGTATTTTATGTATGCATAAGATAGGAATCAGGATTTTACACATGCTTTGAAGCATATAAGTAGTCCTCAATTTATGACCAGTCATTTAATGTAAATGTAATCATAAAATGTTGCACCTGCCCTCCCCCAATCACATTATCCCATTTTGAGTGCTTGATAATCTGTTCACATTTAAAATTGTTGCCCAGTGCCTTATAATCATGTGATTGCCAACTGATTCCAATCATTTATTGTCTGTCATTTGCAATCTTCTCTGCCAGCTTTATCAGAAAGTCAATGGGGAAGTTGGCAGGGAAGATTGCAAATAGAGGTGATGTTGGATTTGTGGCCAAGTGCACCAAGGAATTCCCCTTTCCCTCCATGCAGGGAAGGAAAATCGTCCCATGTGCTGGAGGAATGGACCTCAAATCTGGCAGAAACACTTGTAAACACCATCATTCTAGAAGGCTCAGAACAGCAAAAGGCAAACATTTAGGCCAGAATCGTGTTTTATTCTGTTCATGTCCACAGAGAGAATAGTACCAAATTTAAAAATCTCTCCATCATAGTGAGAAATTCTCATAATGTTTGCTATGTAAAAGAGGAAGGCAGAGATTTCTCAAAGAGAACAAAGCACCACTTACCAGGTCCTGAGACTCCATAGACAAAGCCAAAAAAGTTTTCTCTATCTTCATCACGGATTTTGGGGAGTTTAGAGAAATCCATCTTAAATCTTCAATAATCTGGAAATTAAATGAATAGTAGACATTCATATTTAGAGCATGTAAATATAATAGGACAGATAATAGGACATGGAAGAGAGAGAGAAAGTATTTAATCTTCAAATTAAATCAAATTATCTTGGTCAGTATCTAACAAAGCAGAATGAATACCATTAATCATTACCACTATTAGAGTTTCTGAGCATAACTTACTTGTGTTGCAACAAATAATGTTACTTGTAACATTCCCTCATTTGTGATACTGTAAATTAATTAATTTGCATTCTCTTCCTATGTTCTCCTTGACATGTATGGAATACGATATGACTATTTAAATGCATAAGTATTTATATCTGTACCTGCATCCTCTCAGATCTGCAGTCTTACAAATTACACATCTGAGTATTATATGAAGTGTGAGGTAATGCATCCTTACAAAATAGATGAAAGTATAGATAATCAATTATAGCATTGCCTATGGACATATATCTGTTGAGGGCCTCAACAAATTATTATCATTTATTTCTGAACCACAGCAATTACCCTTCTCAGAAGTGGAGAAAGCAAATGCATAGAGCAGTGATGGCTAACTTTTTTATAAAGGTGTGGCAAAACTGTGTGTGTGCACACTATTGCGCGCACATGCCCACCCACCTGTGCATGCACGAGCGACTCCCGTTCACGGTGGGGGGGGATTTTCACCCTCCCTAGGCTCCGGAGGCTTTCCTAAAGCCTGGGGTGGGCAAATAACAGCCCAACCGGAAATTCGGGAACAAACTTCCAGTTTACCCATTGGGCCGTTTTTCACCCTCCCCAGGCTACAGGAAAGCCTCCGGAGCCTGGGGAGGGTAAAAAAACAGGCCCACAGGCCAACTGGAAGTTTGTTCATGAACTCAGTAGGGCCATTGGGCCTGTTTTTTGTGCTCTGGAGGCTCTGGAGGCTTTCCTGAAGCCTGGGAAGGGTGAAAATGGTCTCCCCTGGCCCTCTGGAAGGCCAAAAATCAGCTGGCTGGTGCACACATGTGCACCAGAGCTGAGGGCTGCCATGCTGGTAAATATGGCTCTGAGTACCATCGGTGGAACACATGCCATAGGTTTGCCATCACAGGCAAATAGTATTACTGCTGACAACCAGAAAAGACTGCATTGTCTGATGCAAGCCTTAAAATGATGATGATGCTTTAACTATCTGAACAGATTCTGCAAAACATTTCTTTTCCATTGTTTGCACAGCCCTATAAATAGGTCAGCATCTGACTGTCTTCTGATGGAAAATCAGGTGGAAGGTCAGGTGATCAGCTTTGGTGACCTAGCAAGCACAGTCAGTGGGGAAGCCAGATTCACTTAACAACTGTATAACTAACTTATCAACTGCAGTGATTCACTTAACAACTGTGGCAAGAAAGGCTGTAAAATGGGGCAAAACTCACTTAACAACTGTCTCACTTAAACAAAATTTTGGGCTCAATTATGGTGTCAGTCGAGGACTATCTATACAAGCAGGTGCATCAATTTCAAGTGTTCAATTACTGATCAAGAAGTATGAGGAAATAGATTCTCTTTTGTGTTGTTTGCAATTATTTGCATTGTATGTCCTTGAAGCAGTATTCTGAATTCTTGAAGAACTTTGAAAGTAGCCACAAATCTAGAATTCTGCTATGATTCTGCATCATGCTACCAGCCCCTTATGTGAAAAATGCCACAGGGGACATCCTAGTCCAGGGCTGTAAAACTGGCGGCCTGTGGGCCAGATGCATCATGTGCAGGCCATGCCCACGCTGGCTCCACAAGGGCAAAAAATGTCGGAATATGTCACAAGACGTCATGTAACGCAATTGAGTTTGACACTCATGTCCTAGTCCTTTGTGAGGCATCAGTAAGTGAAATGCGAATGAAGCCCTAGAAAAAGAATCAAAGGATCAAACATATTTGAAGAAAGAAGTACTAATAAAGTCCTGCACCTGGAAAACAAAAATGAAAGGCAGAAATACAGGAAGATGATCCTAAATTTAAGATGCTCCCCCGGAAAAAGATAAAACAAACAAATATTCTTGGATATCCAGATTCCCTGTCAATATATGCTTGCCAAATCCAACCAATTCTACACAATTTTCTCTTCCCATACAAAAAGCTACATTCCAAAAAAGAGCAAGGCCAGTACTAAAAACAATTAAGAATTAAATTGATTGTTTATAACAAGATATTCTATCTATAGAGTAATTTAACACCTTCTGCAATCTTCCCGCCATTCCATGTCACACACCATCCAATCTCAATCTCATGCACAATAAATGCGGGCTCACATTTGTGAACCAGTAGGGAAGGTAAGTGAATTCCACCCTGAAATACATATATATCATGGATAACATTACAAATGTAGTTTCTGAAGTATTATTTACACTGAACCAGAACATCCTGCCTGATTTCTAGATTTCAACTGCCAACTACTAATCTGCCATAAACAAGTGTTCAGTATCTTGTATTTGAATTTGTTCAACTCTGAACAGCCAAAAAAGTACATTCCCCATTATTCTGAATAATGAAAATTCAACATTAAAATAACTGCTAGTTTTTAAACACATTTCTGCACTATTTAGTAGACTAGAGACTGGCAAGATGATGATTACTGGCATCCGTATCTTCCCACAAATTGTACTGCACCAGTTAAAATACCTAACATCTATGATTTTTTTTAAAAAAACTCAAAAACCTTTCAGCAACCGGAATTATTTCAGACTGATGCTGAAGAAATTAAGCAGCTTAATTTCCACATAATTCTGACCCATTATAGTAAATATAACATATACAGTATGTAACATTCTCAGCCAATCAAGGAAAGAGAAAAGGGAAATGGAAAATAGTTCTTGTTGATTAGAATGGTGTTCAAGGACAGAAGGAAGACAAGGTACACAGATTCTGAATGGCGGAGAAAGGATCAAGAGGCAATGAAAAGGTGGAGGGATGGTGGAGAAAAACCATGCAAGCCATGAAAAATAAGTTTTAAAGGGTGGTTGTGAGGGAGACAGAAAAAAGAAACTAGAAATTTTACATTAAGAGAATGCAATGTATAACATGACATGTTGATTGCTCCAGGTCTATTTTAAGAATATTAAATAACCAATTTATAATGCAGTGCTCTAAGAAGCATACCAATATAAACTATTCTCTATATAGAATTTTCCTATCTCAAGGTTAAAAGTACCACTTCGTTTAGATATTATTGTAGGATAATATTGTGATACCTAACATCATTTGATCTGATATTTTAAGAGACTGAAGCTTTTATAGTAGTGAAATTATATTTCTCAATTATAACTCACTTCAAAATCAATCTCTTCCAAAGAATTTTATAGTAAAAATACAAGCTAGATCTTACCTTAAATAATGAAAAAAATATCCACCAAGATTATAAAGTTATAAAAGGAGCCCCTTAAGTAATTAGAAACTGGAAATAATTTGCTTTGTCTGAAACTCACAAATATGTCAAAAAAGAGTTTACACACATACAGCTGAGAAATAATCACTTGACGATGACTCATCAATTACTCCACTAGACTGTTGCAGTTGCAAATATATTGTTAGAAGACAACTAGCTTCAAGGTTTGTAAGACTTTCAGTACAGTGTATGTAGTCCTCAACCTACAACCTTAATGGAGCCTGACCCCTTCTCTCTGATCTGGTTGTTAAACACTGTGTGAGCTGTTAAGCACAGCTTGGGATGCTTTAGGGGTGGAGGAAGTCCCAGGTGGCTTAGCACAGGCACAGATCCACCTTCCTCTACCCCCTCAAGGTCTCTCCCAATCCCTGAAATACTCCACTTCCCTCCCCTCAGGCTTTCCACAGCTCTTGGGTCTGTTTCCCTCTCAATAAATCCCCGAAGGCCTTCCTCCTGCACCAGGTCCTCACAGGGCTTGGGCCCCCTGCCCTGCCCACCCCAATACCCATTGCAATAGCACAGTTTTAGGGAAGCAGAGTAGATTATTCCATTCCTGGGCTGTATGGTTTAGGGACACTAAGAGATGGAATGGCCTTCCTTCCTCAATATGAGATTGGCAGCTCTGGAGATCTTTAGAAGATAAGTACCCGATAGGTGTAAGGGGATAGGGACCCAGTGGGAGGGAAAAGCAGGCACAATGCGTGTAGGGACCCAGCAGAGCAGGATGGTAGAAGGAAATAGGTGGTAGGTCACTGTTACATCCCTGCAATTGGTTGTAAAGGTGAATGACCACTTGGGCATGGCAGCAGCCATAACTTTGAAACAGAGTCGTAAATATCTTTTAGGAAGTCTGTCATATCTCTCAATGGTCACTAAGTGACCAGTTGTAAGCCTAGGACTATCTGTACACTAATAAGATCTACCTATCAAAAACAGGATAAATCTGTCATAAACTCAATAGAAATTTAATAAGTGTTTAACTATACAGGCCCCATCTTTTGTTACCTTGATTAGAGTACAAAGAGGTTTTCAGATCATACAAAGTTACTTGCTGTACCTTTCTTCTTCACAGGTAAAAGTTAATAGCTGAATAAGATTTTTTTTTCACTTGGAGAAGGCATCTATCTACTTCTTAGCAGTGTTTACTGTATTTAGTTATGTTGGGATGGTCCAATGACATCAGTATAAAATGGTAATCCAGCTATGATAAAATTAGACGCACATTTTCACATAAGAAAATATATTTCAGGTACACAAGAGATATGAACATTGTAGCAAATGACACTATATCAAATCAGACCAAATGATTAGCAATATTCCATGCTTTTGGACATACCTGGAATCAAGTGTATTTTTGCATGGATTTTGAAAATTCAAAGTCAATTGTTATAAACTAATTCAGCCTACTCGCGCAGATGTTGCCATTCTGTTT